AGATATGAAAGTGAATCATTTTCATTTCTGTGGATGTGAATTATAGTGCCAAAATTCATAAATAAAAATCAGTCCTTTTAAAAAAAAATGTTATATATATGTTGTAGCTGTAATTGACGCTAGGGTATTTTTTCTACACTTCACATTTATTATGTCTGTTATAGCGATGTGCAGCATAGTCTGCAGAAATCATCGGTATGATCCAAGTTATTATCACGTGTAAAGGTTATCCTCTTTGTCATTTGGAGATCTCGTATATAAGATTAACTTTTCACTTTGATGATATAACATATTGATCATTAATTAGTGAATTTTATTTTGATTAAAGTGGTATACATGCCATTTCGTTTTTTTTTTTTAAACTTCATGTTCCGTTTTGAAATTCAAATACTTCGAAAATTTTGTGTTTTCTTTGGACTCTTACTTGTAAAAAAATTAAAATGCATTTTTTTTTTTTTTGGGCTGTCGATTTGATGCATCAACCTTAACTTGTTCAAAGTCTGTAGTGGCTTCTTTCCTAAACATACTGCCTTGTGGAAAGCCCTAAAACGTCATTATTTTTCGTGTATTTCATGTACATGTATTTTAATACAAATTCATATCAAATGTCCGGGAAATGCTTTAAATTACGAAAGTGTAGCGAAATCTTCAGAATGACAATATAAAAGATGGTCACTTCAAACATATTCATTTTTAATGCAACTTTTTTTTTTTTAATTTTATGTATTCATTATTAAAGAGCACTAAGTCTTGTGCATTCTTTTTATAAAACCTCTTTTTTTGTTTGTACGCCATAGGACCATACTACAACACATTAAAGAACGATAAAATCCTTATCCATGGCTAGAAGTGTATATTTTACTACAAAATCCAGTTCAACTTAAATATGATAGATTAAGACTTGCTGTAATTTTCAGCTTAATATGTCCCCTATTTTCATTTAAGGGGAAGAAGGACCTTTAGCTGAAAAAATACTTGTCATTCAATTTTTTTTATATTTTGTATATTTCTTATTAAGTATGCCCCACATATCTTAAAGCAGTTATATCATTAGGTTTCTTACCTTATTTTAGAGATATTGATTGACAAATATTATGCCCCACAGTATCGAAGTGGAGTTTTAATTATTCCATGTTTCCGGGCTCATTACTCTGTCCATAATTGGATTTTTAAAGCATATATAAAAAATATGTAGGTGAACATGTATCTTTTAAAATATTTCAGAGTATGAATTGGGTTTAAAATTCGAAAAGGCAGGTTTCATCTATCACAATGCATCTGGATAGGGAAAATTACAAACTTTTTAAGACAACTTAAACAACAAAAAACGTAATTTACAAAAAATCCTATCATTCAATATTTTTAAATTTACGTTGAAATGCAAGTCCTTCAAATTATTGATTAACTGTAAAAATTTCGAATGGTGAAGCTGACCTCAATATTGTACAGGACATCGTTAAAGACGACATAAGCAGGACAAAACTTGTCATGTTTACATTTCTCGAGTACGGGAAAAACCAACTATGACGTCACACGTAAGCTAAATAAGCGAAATAAGGTATACCTACATAAGATTTCCGTCATCAGCCATGCAAAAGTGTTCCCCGTTTCTCAAAAGACTTCATCATATACTGATTATGACCTGTTTTTATATAATAATACCGCCCTTGTATTCATCGAGTATGATCTCAGTTTAAAGAAACAGAGGAGTGGATCAATCTTTTTTCATAATTTGTTAATGTTTACAAGAATGTTAAACTTTTTATTTTTTTTAATATAAGATGGTAATTAAAGAAAAAAAATTGTCAAAAATTTATACAAGAACTGATGCTTTACACGTTTTGCACTAATGGAGACTATGACGTAGTTTAACAAAGTCATGTGATCATGTGTCCTTCATCCCCTTAAATCGTGTTACATATACATGTAACCACGATTTTACGAGACAAATGTGGTAAATAAATATTTCGTTAAAATACAAATAGTTTCAATTTAAATATAAACACAAAAGTTTTCAAAACTTCTTGAAAAATTCATAATTAAATTTTCCTAAAATTTTAAAGAAGAGCATATTTTGGTGAATTTTATTCCATTAACGTACATGTGTTACTTTGTTATACAAATTAAATGTCAACGTCACAACGTTAATGTATGTAACGTCAACGTAATGACGTGATAGTTTTGATAAGGAAAACAATACTAAGTTTAAACGTCTGTAAAAAGAAAACCAGAAAAGATATTGTTAAAAAATAAATTGTTTTACAACATACAAATCTTAGAGTATTATGTGAGAAAGTTTCATTTATTTTGATGACTGGGCCGATTTTGGCACTTCGTGGATTTAGCTCTTTCTCTTGGAATTGAAAATATTCTCTTGGTAAATCCTAGCTTTTCTACTCTAAAATGCTTCAGACAAATGCATGGCAGAGTATTCTTTATGAGACTGATATTTAGTGAAAGTGAATCATGGATGGAATATCTTAAAACAGGGATGTTGTAGAGATGATCGATACATGCATGAATGAATGGGCAAGGGAGTCCAAATACACTATTAGACCCCAAATAGGCTGAGGGCCCTCTAGGCCCCCAGAAGCTCTGAAGTAAATCATGCAAAATCCTGCATTCTTACCATTTCCTGGCATGAAGTTTTCAATCTGAAATTCTCTATTTTAAGGGGAAAAAAAAAAACAAATGTTACTTGTTACCTACTTTTTATTGTCATCTTTTACACTTTTATTTATTAATGCACATTAAAAAATTCTCTCATCAGCTGTTACAACAATTAATTGATGTTTCCAATGAATTTTTTAACTGGCTGAATAATTTCTTCAAAGGACATCCTTAACAATTTTATTTCCTTATTCACATTGAAAGATTTAAGCATCCTTCATGAATCGTGAATGATGCTTGTAGTAAAACTTCAATTTATTTTGTACTGAATTATACTTCTAATCTTATAAAATCTTTAGAACTTCTGAAATTACATGTTAAATTGAATCAATAAAGTAGGTATAAAGTGAAGCCAAAACAGATTTATCAGAAAAAAAATGGTATAATCAGAAAATATTGCGAAACTTAAAAAAAAAAAAAATACAATATTTTAAATGGATTAAACAAGTTTGAATAGTGGAATCCCAATTAAAAGCATAAAAAAAAAATCAAGTCAGAAAAAAAGGTCACCATGACCTACTTCTGAGTCATATCACAATATGAAATCCTAAGATGTATCCACTGATAAGATTTGATGATTTTAGTCCTTATAGTGTGCAAAATATCTAAGTTTTAACAAAACATCATTTTAGGTCAATTATGAAGTGACCTTGAGGCAACGCCCTTTGCCCTAGGGTGTTGCCTCGGGACAATTTATAATCTATGATGTATCCTCATCCTTATGTTTACGGTTGGTGATAATCTGCCCAGTGTTCATGAGAAGATTATTCAGCAACCACTACTTTTATATATTTCCCTAATTATCTCCCTCTGTTGATAGGTCACATTCCTATTATTAGTATAAATGAAAGCCCTTAATTGGCCTAAGGATACTTTGCGACAAATTTGATAAAAATTGGCCAAGGGGTTCTTGAAATACATGACCCACACTCCAAAAAGTTTATGCACACTGCACAACAGGCCAAAGCATTAGCTCTTTGAGGCTTTGGCACAGAAGAGCTATAAACACAATCCCCTGGACCTGAGAATGTACTTCTCCCAATAATATCTAACAAATAAACCAAGAGATTCTAGATACTCCTCATCCAAACTTTATTTTCAGGGTTTCTGATAATCAGTCCAAGCAATAAAATGCCACACACTAAGAGTATTTAATGGTTTAATTTCCAAGAGGCAAAAAAAGAAATGAAACACCAATTTTCATTAATGACAACATGAAATGAACCCCAAAGAGATACAAAATAAATATTGAGTAATTATAAATATACACATGTCTAAAGAAGGCATGTGTGATAAATAATCAGAATCTTAAGATGAAACCTAGCTTCCATTACTGGATAAACCAGCAGGAAGTCTTGATGTTCTTTAAAATGTCTGTTGACATGCATTACGCACATCCTAAATACTCAATAGCTGCAGAACTGTAGCTCTCTGGTTGAGAAAATTCTTATCTGTCGGAATTTTCTCAACCAGAGAGCTACAGTTCTGCAGCTAAATACTCAAAAGACAAAAGATAGTGGATACTAATTATTCTTTTTAAAGTCAAAGGACAAGTTCTAGGTCTCATTATCATTAACAGCTGTGTCCTGTATAAGGATACTGTATGGAACACTATATTTGATAGATATCAAAGCCCTACCTCTCATGGTTCAGAAATAAAATAAAATGTATACCAAAAGTAGGTCAAAGTTCAATATCAATCAGTTCAACATCCTAACCATCTCTCATGTTCAAGATGTGTAGGAATGACAAATACCTTGCGAGACAGACATGTAACAGAGATGTGATCCCCCAAAGTCACTCTGCAATCAGTTAATAAAAAAATTGCTGCCACTAAGTATACAATTTTTGGCTGAAAACTGAGATCAGAATAATATAAGACTACAGAACTGTTATGGAAGTGTGGAGCTGTGGAATGGCTTTGAAATTGTGAAAATCTGTCAATATAAAATGGGTCATCTGATATCAAAAGGGGGGTGTCGTGGGTGTTTGGGTGGGTAGGGGGTTATACTGGAAAAAGATAAAGTAAATCTTGAAGTTTTTAGTTGACATTATCAAATCTTTCATGTTATTAACCACTTCATGGTGACGACCTTTTACAGTGTGAGAATACGTACTTTTTTTTTGCATCAAAATAAATAGAAAATCTGAAAATTAACATAACTTAAACTAGTCATGTGTTTGAAACTTAATAAATAATATCTGACAGTCCCTTGAGGATTTCATCAAATACATAAAATATACACACAACCTACACAATTATGCAATATGTTTGAAAATACAAGTATAATAAAAATTTCAAATACAGTTACAAAACTGATATTCTCCAAGATATGCATAATACATTACTCCTCATAAACAAAATTAATGATAACAAACAGAAATTCTACACATTAATAAAATATCAATGAGCAATATAAGATTCCCTGTGTCTAAGAAAAAAAAGAAAGATTTTTACAATATCTTATAAAATGCATGAACACTGTGTGGAATTTACATTATAAAATATACTTCATTAGATAGATAAAAATAATTATTCCTTTGTTGTTAATCAGATAGGCTTCAATTTTTTAGTTTATTGCTACAGAACGGCTGTATTGCACAAAATGGAAGCACTAATTTGAAAAATATAATTATGCAGTGTGGAGGTATAAACTAACATTGATTAGATCATATTGAGATTCACAGGTATGAATATGAATGGGATATGAACAAGTGATCAAAATTCATATGATAACCCTGTCAAATAAAAAAGAAATGATATTTTTAAAAAAAAAATGTATAAAAATAAAACACAACATACAAATAGGAAGTTAACAAAAAAAGGGATTGAAATGCTGATAAAATGGATAACAAAAAACTCACACTGTACACCTAAAATTTAAAATCCTAATCGCTCATCAAGAACATGTACTTAAGCTTATTACCATTACACATGACCTTTATAAGAATTATATACTATACTGTAAAAACAACAAGCATCCAATCAAGTCTCTAACAAGCTAAATAATTTGATTTAATATATCATAAGGTATGTATAAGCCTCACCTTTCTCTTAACAAGAAGGAATAAAAATCAAGGCTAAATAGAGTAATCACTGTGAGAGCTATTTTACATTTTACAAGCATTTTACATTTTCATTATCTATTCACATGGCTAATCTTACTAGAAAGAGAATTTTTTTCATGTATGTAATATTTTAAAAGCTCACAAAAACTTTGGCCATGAAAATACTGATATTCTATTGCATGGAAAATATTGCAGTGCTTAACAAACATTTTGTCATCTTGAGACAGATCCAAATGTAGAAACATCAGTCTTACCATTTTTGGCCGAATATAATATGCACTTTTTTCCTAGAATATTTTTTTTGTAAAGTTTGAATGAAATTTGACCAAAATTTTATGTACTATTATCTTATTTTAGTCTACATGTACATTTTTTGTATAAATATTCTTCTTTCCTGGATATTGTAAAATTAAAACATTTTCCAGTTAGCCTGCATCAAGATATGCCATGATCAGTAAAAGGTGGAAAGAAGAGGGAGATGGAATGAGTCTTTAAAATATTACGGTCCTCCTTAGACTGCTGCCTCTTTGTCACTAGATACTTCTTGTTCCATTGTGTTTATAATAGTTTCTGTGGCTTCTTGTTTAGTCTCACTCTGATGCAGGTTCTCACGACGAAATTTCTGTCGAGCCAGTATCTTCTCCCGGATTTCAGCTGAACTACTTGTTGCTATACACTGCACCTCTGCCTCAAATTTCTTTAAAAAAAGGATGTGTTGATGAAAATTTGATGCCCCTGTATCACTGCTCATGGCCAAGGTTTAAGTTTTTCAAAAGTAAGTCAAAAATACTGGTACCTAAATAAAGGTCTTGTCATAAGGAATACACATGTGAAATGTGATAGCCCTTGCAACAACCATTCAAAAGTTACAGTCTATATAGGTTAAAGTTTTTCAAAAGAAGCTCAAACTTCAAGGTCATGACCTTGAAGTTTGAGCTTCTTTTGAAAAACTTTAAATACTGGTACCAAAAGAAAGTTCTTGATAAAAGGAATGCACAATATAAAAGCCCTAGCACCAACTGTCAAAAGTTATGGCAGAGGTTAAAGTTTGTTTAAAAGTACTGTAGATCACTAAATTTTCGCGACACCTTATTTTCGCAAGGTTGTTGTTTGGTATTTAAAAGCAATACAAAATTTTCACTGATTTTGGTTATTGCTCTATATAATCTTTAAATATAGAATTATATGTGAGAATAAAATTTTTCCGACTACACAGTCTCACGTAATTTTGCAAAAATAAAGTTCTCACAAATAATATGTGATTTACAGTAAGTCAAACTCAAAGGTCAAGATCAATAGGTCAAACTGTTGGTATCAAAAAGAAAGGTCTTGTGACAAAGAATACACATGTGAAATATGAAAGCCCTAAACCAACTGTTCAGAAGTTACGGCCAAGGTTAAATTTTTGCAGACAGACAGATAGACAAAGAGATGGACAGACCAAAAACTACTGGTATATGCCCCCGAATCTCCAATTAAGGAGGCATAAAAAAGATGAAAACAGTTTTTTGGTGTGGTGCAATTATTCTTAAAATTCTTGAGAGGATTTCATGAATCATTTCAAAATTATCTTTCAAGAAAAGACCATATGTTCAGCTGTATAACTAGTACATGTCATGTATGTTGTATCCAAAACCTACTGGTACATACTTTAATCTGATCTTATATGTATATAACTGAACCAAATTAAATATTAAAATAGAAATTTCAAACTTGTTATACTTTAAGAGCTTCCCTCCTTAGGAACTCTAGTTTGGCTCTTTTGGTTTCTATGGTTTCTGGAATATCTGGAATGGCATAGGCTATCAAGAACTTCAGTCCCAAAATTATATGCTGAAAATAATCAAAAACTCGGTCAGGCTTTGTGGACACACTTTAAAAAACTAAAAGGTAAAATTAAACAAGAGGCCTTAGGGCCTGAACAGTCACCTGAGTATAATACAATCCTGTAAAGGATCCATGAAATGAAAAGTAGATCTATTTACTTGCCTGTACTTGCCAGTGCTATTACACTCCCATTTGTCACTATCACCATACTAAACAACAACACAATAATGTATGAGTGTATGAAACAGTGTATACATAGTAAACACACAGTAAACCCTGCAAATTCCTTCTAATGTTGACATCTCTTGATCTTTGAATATTCTTTATATTCAAAAATGAAAAACTTTTGCAAATAAACTTCAATGCCTGCACCAGAGTTCATGCTCATTCCTCTTATAATAATATAGGTATAAGGTGATGTCCATAAACCATATTCAGATTTAACTGGCACAGTAATTTATCTGATTATTTCCTGTGTAGCGTGTAACACAAACTTTGATTGGATACAAAGCTGGGTGTAAATTTCTGTCCACCCAACTTGGGGTAAATAACATGACGTCACAATGCATAATTTCTCTATCATAAAAAGCAAATAACATGATGTCACTGTGCATTGTAAGACGTAGAAAATCTTATCAATAGTTTGAAACACAGTTGATTGAACTTGTTTACAAAGAATTTATTTGGGTACATAGGAAATAAATTCTTCTCCAGGTCCAATCAAGGGTATACAGGGATTTACCCCAAGTTGTATTCCATACACCTTCACCCTTCTGCCTCAGGTTGTATGGAATAAAACACGGAGTAAATCCCTGTACAACCTTGAGTCCTTGATTGGACCTGGATAACTAATAATATCCAGGAACAGAGAAGAAGATTTTCAAAGAATTCATGCATTTTTACTATATATATTACCAATAGAGCCCCACCCTAACACCACAGGCCCTGAATTTCACAATTTAGGAAGAAGTGCCCCTGCACATCCTAACCATAAAGTTAGTTTGTCTGCTAAATACTTAGGAGTGGAGAAGATTTTCAAAGAATTCATGCATTTTCACTATATAATTAATAGAGCACAACCATAAACCAGAACCCTTGATCAAGGGCTTTATTTTCAGTAGAGGGCACAATGCTTATTATAAGCATGCCAACAGTTTGTCTGCTTTATGTCCAGAAGTAAAGAGGAAGATTTTTAAAGATTGCATTAATTTTTATGGTTTTAACCCCATCCCTCAGGCCCCAGGGAGGCAGGGACCATGAAATTCAAAACTTGTGTTCCCTTCACCCATAACTGCTATATGCCAAGATTGGTTGATATTGGTTATTAATAAGCAGTTCCATAGCAGAAGCTAAAAATGTTCTAAACGTTACACCCAATACACAACAGATAAAAACAGATAGCAATATGAGTGACTCAGGTGACTTAAAAATGCTGATCAGTTTGTTACTTTAAATCTTAAAGCTTTAATTGTGACAATTATAGTCCCAAATTTTAAACAAAAAGATAATTATCTCCAACGGTTGACAAAATATACCCCATCTATCCAATAAATCTTAGATGAGGTATAAATGTCACAAAATAAAGGAATACAAACTGGAGAATTTATTACCTCTAAAAGAACAATGATAAGAATGACAGTTTCTATGGAGGCCCCTGGAACCATTCTCTGAACTTGACCCGATACTCCAATCAGAGCACAGTTTACTATGATAGCAATTACTCCCATCAACTCCAATGCATCCTGACAAAAGTTAAAAACCTTACATTAGACAAATTAACAAAACTTTTTTTGCAGACTGTTCTAAGGCTTGTGAGGCTTATGATGTTTGGATAGATATATTTCAATACTGGTATTATTAGTTACATAGTTTTGTACTGAGTGGGTACAGGATAATACCTATTAGTAAAATTTTACACTTGGAGAAGCGAAGCCAAGCCAGGTATGAAATTTACTAACCAGGTATCATCTCATACCCGGACACTACAAAACTATGTAACAAATTTATCCCATCGATTACATAATTACCCGGTATATATTCAGGTGTATATGGTTTGTAAAATTGTTTCTCCCTGCTACATGTTTCATCAGTCCTGTACAGTGCCTATCATGATGTCATGTTGTGTTACTTAATATTCTCTATTGAGTGTTTCATGCAGTAATAATGTACAGACAGTTTTGAAAAATTTAAGTAAAGGCAGAAAAAGATTTCATAATGTGTGCTCAGTACTGATGTTAGTTAACTTTGTAATTGTCAACAGACACTCATCAAGCCATGTGTCCATTGACAATTATAAAGATTAAGGAACTCAAGTTGTTCTAAGTGTTACAAAAGAACGATAACTGTATTGACTTTGTATTGATTTTCAAGTAATCATGTACAAGTATTACACTGCCATCACACTTCAACCAATCACAAGCCAGAATTTTATTGAAAAATTATCAGAGAAGGGAAAAATGTACTTGATAGGTTTTTTAAATAAAAAAAGATGTCTCCTTCCTATTCCTGGCTATAAGTACATGACCTTGACCTCTCAGATATGGCCTTGAGTCAAGGTTATGACACATTTTTAAGGTCATTGTCAACAGCACTGAAACTTGGTGAAAAGACATGAAAACAAAAGAGTTCAGTAAGTTGTAAATGTGACAAAGAACTTTCAATGTAACTCTTCCCAAATTTTTTTTTCCATACCTGCCATGTCCCAATGTTCTCTACAGATCTACCAAAAGGTCTCTGATATGTCATACAGAGTTTAAAGGCATCACTTCTGACCTCCACTATATTGTTCAGCAGTGCACAGAGGGCAGCCAAAGGGAAGGCAGAGGAAAAGAGGGTCACATAACCAAACTGTATAAACATTTCTAGGTAGTCTTCTAAGGTGTCCTCATACTAAGAATAAGAAGGAAAAAAGATGTAACAGAACTGAATAAAAATCTCAAGGTAGTCCTCCAAAGTGTCCTCCAAAGTGTCCTCCACAGGAACAAGTAACATACTATGCTTGATTTTATGTGATCACTACATATACAAAAAGAAAAGGAAACCAATGTATGTCAGCCCAACTTTACATGGGGGGGGGGGTTCAAATTGAAAAACACTCCATATTTTCAATAACATACCTTGTAACAGTGGAATAATGACTGGAATCATTTAGCAATAAATATTCTTTAATATAAACCCTATAAAGATCATTTAAGAGGCCTTTAAGCTGCGTTTCACAAACTCAATATCCTGTCATGCAGGTTGATGTAGTTTAAAACTTTAAGTCTTCTCAATTCATTCAATTTGCTCAACACTGCATTTAATGCAGGACATGATTGGTCAACAATGTTTTTCTAGAACATTTTTGACCAATCACTTTCTGCCTTTCAATCTGAATGGGGTTTCCCAAAACCGTGTCTTCTCTTGGCTTGGGCTTTACTGTGTAAGAAAAAATTCTGTAAATCGAAGAAATGGGGTGTTATAATTGCAAATATCAAATTAGAGAGAGAGATAGTTTATGTTAAGACTGAAAGTACAGTTTACTGTTTATGTTTTCCGGAAAGACTTCAAAACTGGATTTAATGCTCGAACTTTACCCCATTTTAGAGGACCACTTAAAGTTCATCGACTCACATGATTGAATATGGAGTTAGTATAATCCAACTTAAATGCTATATATATGAATGAGGTTACATTTTTACTAAAAAATAATTATTGTAGTATTATTCCAGTTGTTATTTTATTGGCTGCAACATATTTTCTTTAAGAAACAGAATATTTTTGAGATCAACCCTGTGTAAATTCAGGCCAACGTTGGTTCGAAAATTCCCTTTTCATTTTTGTTTTTATAGAGTGATTACATAAAATTAAACATAGTATGTTACCGGCCCATGGTGTCCTCATACTAAAAATAAAAAAGACAATAAAACCAAACTGTATAAATATCTCAGTCCTCCAAAGTGTCCTCATACTAAAAACAGAAAGGGAAAAGATGTAACCAAACTGTATAAACATCTCCGGGACATACCAGACTAAGCACTACAATAAATGTACTCCTTCTTTAAACAATCTTTTATAAAAATTGTTCGCTTTGCTTTTGCACTTCAAACAAATGTTTTCAGTTATCCTTGCTTGTAAATTAAGTCGGTTTCTGACTTGATACACAGTGCTCTGTTATTACCTGTTTCATGGCACTTTCCACCTCAGCCTGAGTGAGGGAGAGAGGTTTTTTCTGTTTTTCTTTGATATCCAAGAGTTCATCATCTCCCTGTATTTCTCCTTCACATGTTCTTCTTTGTCTAACATCACAAGAGTCCTGAACACTGTCACTCTCAACAAAATCCCCATTAACAGATTCACACTTGTCAGTGCTAAGCTGATCAGGAGAAGATAACTCCTGGTCATTCACACTGGATTCTGGAATATCCAGATTTGATGAAGCCTTGCAATTAGATGAATCCTTGCAATAAGAGGAGACTGTCTTTCCCTCAGGAATGATGAGATCTTTTGTCATTTCATATCCCACTTTGTAGAGTTTGGCTTTCCACTGTAGATATGGCAAAAAAGCCTCCTTCAGATTCCCAATGATTTGACGAGTAATTAGGATTGCTGCCAATTGCTGTAGACAAAATTTTGAAATGCTAACAGGAATTATTGTTAAATAACATGTTTTATATTTCTCATTCTTTTTCACAAAGTGAAATTCCATCATATTTTTAACCTGAATTCTCTGACAAAACTTTGTAAAAGTTTTTAGGAACCATGACAAAATCAGTTGTCAAAATCAATAACCAATACATACTATCATGTATCATAAAAGAGTTTACTTGTGTACCAAGTCTTATTGAAAAGGACCAAAACTGTTGGAGGAGTAGCATTTTGAATGAATTTCAAAGAAATTTCGAATTTTAATTTTAGCAACCATGGTAACATTGATTTTCAAAATCAAAAACCAATGAAAAGAGTTATGTATCTTAGTATAGTCTAATTCTGTACCAAGCCTTATTGAAATTCGACCAAAACTGTGGGATGACTAATGTTTTGGAGTGAATTTCAAAGAAATTTCTATTTTCAGTAACCATGACGATACCATTTGCTGAAATCAAAAACCTGATACACAGAATTACGTACGTGTCTTAGGACAGTCTACTAGTGTACCAAGTCTTGATGAAATTGACCAAAACTAAAGGAAGATTTAGCATTTTGAAAAACTGTTTACAGATTGACAAACATATTGTTTGTACAGTTGAGAGATAAATTGTTGAAAGTAAAAACAGTATGGGGTTCCTTTCAGTAGCTAAATCCATTGCAGGGTGTTCAAGTCCAAAGATTTGTCTGCACATTCTTTCACACTGCAGTTATATATGTTCATATTTTTACTACAGAGTGGGGTAAAATTTCAGTTTGAGGTTCGTTAAGTCCATAGTTAATATTTTGTCTGAAAATTCTTGTGGGGTCAAGTCTATATTTAGGTTTTTTTAAACCTCCTACTGACAAATCTTACATTAATAAACCATGTTATTTTGGGGTTAACACCACAATAAAAAAAGATCCCAAAAATGCTGGAAAATACACAAAATTTACCTCTCCTAAGAGCAAACAGACAGACGGACAACAAACACCTCACTAATGCATAAGCTCTTCTGGTCTCTGACGAGTAGAGCTAAAAATATGCTTTGGATTCCATTATATCCAAACAATTGTAAAAATTTACAAAAAGAAACCATTTAAAGCATTTCAGTTCTACAACATAAAATGATGACCACTTACATCACAAAGCCTATCCATGTCTCGTAAATAAAACGCAATGTAGAAAAGAGACAGGAAAGAGTTCACAAACTGAAACTAGAAAGTTTAAAAATACATATACTACATGTATCTAAAGAAAGAATTTGAATCATTTTATATTATTTTATGATGAGCTTTTAAAGTTTTGCAGAAGTATTTACAGTACATGTACTTAGGTAGTATTTTGAGAGAGTTAAAAAGGAAACACAAAAGATTTTATTTATATACTGGAATGACCCATAGGTCACAATGCTCACCTGAGTTACCATTTCTCCTACCAATAAATGAAAATGTAGATAAATGAAGTCTCTTACTGTGATCATAGATTTTAAATTCCAAGTCTTCAAAGAATTTTGACAAAGTGCCATTACTGAATAAAGTTGGAGGTGATTATCAGATGATGTAATTTAGAAGTTGCTTTGAAAATAAAATCACTCAGCAACACCTATACATAAAACTTTGATTCTCCTGTTAGGTCCCTATCAAAGCCATGATCTGAACAAATGTGTATCTTAAAGGGTTTTTATCACATATCTAAATTTTCTTAAAATGACACACTATTATATTCTTGAAACATATAATTATCGTTTAATTATGAAATAGCTTTGAAAACAGTCATAATTAGCCGATAAAATGCCCATAATATAGTCTAAGAGTTCTCGAAGTAAAAATCTCCACTAATTAGATAAGGGTCACGTGGTACTGAAACATCATAGGTGTCAATGGTCAATTAGAACTTGTAAAGCTTATCGTAAGAAAAATGTATCAAATAGATTTTGACGTTAAATAATATAAACTACACAATAAGGTCGGTGGAAATTTTGACACTGACGATATTCTTTTAGTTACAGACGGACAATCTTTTATGTATGAACGTCTAGCAGAGAGAAATAACCAAGAAAATATGCTGACAATAGGCGAGGACACCGAAGATGAAGCCGTTGACAACTCGGGACTTAATTCCAACTAAATAGAACGAATAACTAAAGTTGGACTTCGTATATATTTATAAATATGAAAATTTTAAATTCAACTTCTCATTATTTTAATAAACTGTATATAAATATTCTATCTGTTCCAGTGAATATCATGTACTAGAAATGACATTTCTTCAACACTGTTCCATGGCACCGTACGCCATTACGAAGTTCATAACATTCCTACTAGCATGTCCTATATTCTGTGCAACTTAAAAAATGTGTGTTGGGTATTTTTTCCGTTTTAAAAAGGTATCATGTCCTTAAAACCTAAAAATCCTGATCGGGCATAAACAATTGTTCTAAATGGAGACAAAACTCTCGCGTTTGCAGAAAAAAGGGCCCCCTTTCACTTCTCAACCAAGTCCAGGAAATATGGAAAAAAGTCTTCCTAAAACCTTTCTTGTGCGCATTTGTGCATCCTAAAGCCACAAATCATACCTAATTATCTGTCAATTATCCAATTATCACTTATTTATTTACTAACAGGTTTAATATACATAACAAATGAGCCGTTTTGTATACAGAATAAGTACTTTGCTTGACCAGGATTGACACCTATGACATCAGAGCAAGGGCGCATAACATCGGCGATCAAAATATGCATATTGAGAAATTCAAACTTTGAATCGCTGAATCATCAAAAATATTAATTTTCTAGCAAAGATTTTTAAATATATGATTTTAATAACATGTAAACTTTGTTATATCAAAAAATTTTGATACGTGATAAAAACCATTTAACTTTGAAAGGAAGTCTTCACTTAAGATTATAATATCTTTTCTAGCTCAGTGGTTTAAAAAAAAATCTATATGATCCACTCTACTTTTTTTCTATTTATGAATTATCTCCCTTTGAAAAGAGGCAAGGCCTTTCAATCCCCTTCATCCAAGGATACTTTGTACCAAGATATGTTGAAACTGACCTTGTTGCTCTTAAGAAGTTGCAACTACATGTACTGACAGTCTACCAACATATACATGGCAAACATTAAAATGACTGGCAGACAGATCATATAGACACATTTTGATAAGAAAGCTCAAAGCTCAACTGAGACTTAAAGTAAAAATGAGCTTAAAAGGTATGATAAAACATAGCAAATATTAAAACAGACAAAAATTTACACATATTACTCTTCAGATTTACACAGAAATATTCAAACTAGATTTTCACAACTGAGACACATTGATATATTTGTAGACAATTGAAAGATTAACAGACTCACCAAAACCAACTTAACAATCAAGTGGTTCCAGTATGTTTCTTCCATTCTATAATTTTCTGAATTAAAAAAAATCAACAAATATGAGGCCATCTTTAAAAATTTGTTTGTTTGCCCTCTCCCGACTGACTGGCTAAAAATGGCCAAACTCAAAACTTTTTTTAACCTCCAGGAAAAAATTATTTTTTTATACATTCCAGAAAATACATTTTGAAAAATTCAGCATTGATTTGGAAATTTTCTGTGAAAAAAAAATTCCCACCTACCTACCAACCCAAATTTTTCATTCTGAGTCGGGAGAGGGCAAGCAAACATTATCTTTTAAAGTTGGCCTGATAAAAAAAAATGATCAGGTAAATTAAATCTAATATGGATGATTATTCATATTCATGTAAAGCAGCAATTTTTCATACCTAAGTCATTTAGCCACTTAGCAATGGTTTTATAAATTTCATCTAAAACACCAATGGACACAGCAAGGAGGATTTTTGGTAGAAAGGAGAAAAAGCCTGGAACATCACCATTATTAACAAGAGAGTTGATCCACTCTTGGACCTGTCAATACAATTATAAGAAAATTGTTTGACCACTTTTGTAGAGTGAAACACTAACTAAAGATTGAAACATCTAGAGAACAACAATAATACATTTAATCATAACAAGAGATCCACGGCTCAAAATGCTCACACAAGTCTATTTTGGCTGATGAATACAGTGGCTGCAACGTTGTTGCTGACAAACCAATCTTGTAGAATCGTTCGTATAACGTGTGTGATCGTTCGTGTAATGTGAGAGATCATGCGATCGTTTGTGGTTTTAATCGTGCGTGATCGTGCGGTAAGAAACATGCAAATTTCGTTTTGTAAGTTTTTATCGGAATTTAATTTGTTAAAGAAGCATTTCGCTTGTCTGTTTATTTTTTTAAAATTGAAATAAAAGAAATGAAGCATGATTTACATAATTGAACGAACTAATTATCGCTAGTAATAAAGCAATCTAGTAAGTTGTACAATTTTGTATTAAATTCTCTTAAAATGGCGTACCTTTTAAAGATAAAACAAATTTTAAGATTTTTAACCGATTTTCTTCTCTGATAAAAATTTTGTTTACTGCTAATTGTGGTCAGTATATTTATTATATCAATTAAAACATCATAAATGTATATCTTTACAAATAAAGAAATAAATAATTCCCAATGCTTACATGAACATTTATTCGGCGAATGTACCCGACATGATTGTCTGGGTTACTTTTCTCAGTGTTTATCCCTGATACTTATTTTACTTTTATAATTTCTGCAAATGAATGAATTGTAAAATCATTGCTGATTTTAAAGATTCACAAGCGGAAAAATGGATATAGTTTTAATTCATTTAGTATGCCATTTTTTATCCCCCCCCCCTTTCTGCATATCCTAAAATCCATTAGAATCAAACTCACGGTTTACCTACAGTGACATCTGATATGCACCAACTGATGATAAATTACGTATTGGCTGTATCGAAAAGATAAAAAAAAATCAAATTCCCTAAGTCGTAAAATTACATAAATAATTATTAGTAATCTAAAATAAATACTAAAATAATTAAGTCTTATTTTGTTTCAAATATATCCATTTCTAAATATTTTTTCCATTTTCCAAAGTCAATGATTTGCAATAATAATAATTTTCAATCTAAAATATCTATATTAAGCCTTATATTGTTTCGAAAATATCCACTCCTAAATATTTCTAACTATTTTGCATGAAGAATCGCGCGTTTGTGTTAGCAATCTTGAAAGAGCATGTAACGTGTAGAATCGTGTGCTTGAAGGATCGTTCGTGTAACAGGTTTAATCGTGCGTTAATCGTGTGGAATCGTTCGTGTAACGTGATCGTTCATGTAAGTTGTCAACAATAATGTTGCAGCTACTGTACTTATTACAAATGATAAGTAAAATCCCAAATTGTGGTTATGGAAATAAGCTTAATTCCTGCTTTCAGAAGTTCTATGATAAATACACTAACCTAAGCATATGGATTTGACAAATTACAGCTTTAACTGTCCTTCAGGAACTCTATTTCTATCAAAAACTTTAAACTTAGACTTTAACCTGAGGTTTTATTTGTTTAAATGTAATCTGCATAACATAAGAATGGTTTCAAATTAGTAAGAGACATTGCGGCATCAGAATTATTTTTAAAGATTTTACAGAACATTTTCTACAAACTTCACTTAAATTTGAATCCTAAATCAGCATTGTGGCCAACCCTGACTCCAGGGGGCAGGCCAGGACTATAACAAACATATATCAATACTCCTAAGGAGAAATATATTTGCAGAGTGTAAAATATTTAATAAACATTGCAATATTGATGTTGAACTTACCTCAAAAATTAACAGCATGATAACAAAAACAACCAGAAGACACATAATTATGACAGGGTAGGAGACAAAATATCGAAACAGATTTCTCTTCCAGGAGGGATAAAATGGCTCCAGTCTGCCAGTCACTGGACTAACTTCTAGTCTCCCCTACATAAAAAGTATAGAACTATCAGCAGCTTTCCTGAACAAGAGGCCCAAGGGCCTTAACGGTCACCTGAGTACAACAATTTAGAGGATCCATAAACTCATAAACGAAGCTTTGTTGCCCAATAGCAAGGAAAATAGTACGATTATGATCATAATAGATGTCTCTATTATTACCTCTCACATTGGCCTCACTTGGCCCTTGAAGAACATTTAAAAAGATAAGTTATATTTGTTTCATTTTTATTCATCTATTATTTCCAAGTCTACCTGATTATTAAAACTATGAAAGTACTTTTTGCATTATACAATAAATGTTCTTGCATAATTTTCTTATTCTAATAATCTTTCAAATACATTATCTACAGTGATTAATTATCAAAGGTGAATGGCAAAGGTGACTAACTTCACTAAGTAGAATACAAATTAATAGAGCCCTGGCAAGGACCAGAACACTTGACTAAATGGTCCAGATGTTCAAAATTCTGGTAAAAATACCTTGCTTATTAAAACTTTTACTCTGTTTGCTTCTAATATGCCCTGGAGCAGAGGAGATTTTCAAAGAAATAATGCATTTTCACTATTTAACACAGCCCTACCCTAACACCAAAACACATGACCTAGGGTCATGGAAATTTACAAATTTGGAAGAGGTACCCTCATCATCATAACTATGCAATTAGTTGAAGATTTTCAAAGAATTCACACATTTTCACTATATAATCAAAAAGAGCCCCCCCCCCCCCCCCCCCCGAGAAACAACAGAACCCCTGGGACCACAAGTTTTAAAAAATTTGTAAAAGCATCCTTGCTCATCATAACTATACACTTGTTTCTTTGCTTTATAACCAGGAGTAGAAAAAAATATTTTGAAAGAAATTATGAATTTTCACTATATAATCAATAGAGTCCCCCCCCCCTTCACCAGAACCCCTGACCCAGGGGCCATGAAATTCACAATTTTGGAAGAGGCTGCCATGCTCATCATAACTATGTACTCAGTTAGTATATTTCATACCCAGGAGCAGAGAGGAAGATTTTCAAAGATTTAATGCATTTTCACTATATAATCAATAGAGCCCCCCCCCCCCCCAATACCAGAACCCCTGACCCAGGGACCATGAAATTCACAATTTTGGAAGAGGCTGCTATGCTCATCATAACTATGTACTTAGTTAGTTTATTTAATACCCAGGAGCAGAGAAGAAGATTTTCAAAGAAATAATGCATTTTCACTATATAATCAGTAGAGCCCCGCCCTAACACCCAAACCCCTGACCCAGGGGCCATGAAAATCACAATTTTGGAAGAGGCAGCCATGCTCATTATAACTACATACTTAGTTAGTTTATTTCATACCCAGGAGCAGAGAAGAAGATTTTCAAAGATTTAATGCATTTTCACTATATAATAAATAGCCCCCCCCCCCTCCTAACACCCAAACCCCTGACCCAGGGGCCATGAAAATCACAATTTTGGAAGAGGCAGCCATGCTCATTATAACTACATACTTAGTTAGTTTATTTCATACCCAGGAGCAGAGAAGAAGATTTTCAAAGATTTAATGCATTTTCACTATATAATAAATAGCCCCCCCCCCCCCTGCTAACACCAGAACCCCTGACCCAGGGACCATGAAATTCACAATTTTGGAAGAGGCAGCCATGCTCATCATAACTATGTACTCAGTTAGTATATTTCATACCCAGGAGCAGAGAGGAAGATTTTCAAAGATTTAATGCATTTTCACTATATAATCAATAGAGCCCCCCCCCCCCCCCCCTCCAATACCAGAACCCCTGACCCAGGGACCATGAAATTCACAATTTTGGAAGAGGCTGCTATGCTCATCATAACTATGTACTTAGTTAGTTTATTTCATACCCAGGAGCAGAGAAGAAGATTTTCAAAGATTTAATGCATTTTCACTATATAATCAATAGAGCCACGCCCTAACACCCAAACCCCTGACCCAGGGGCCATGAAAATCACAATTTTGGAAGAGGCAGCCATGCTCATTATAACTACATACTTAGTTAGTTTATTTCATACCCAGGAGCAGAGAAGAAGATTTTCAAAGATTTAATGCATTTTCACTATATAATCAAAAGAGCCCCCCCACTCCCTAACACCCAAACCCCTGACCCAGGGGCCATGAAAATCACAATTTTGGAAGAGGCAGCCATGCTCATTATAACTACATACTTAGTTAGTTTATTTCATACCCAGGAGCAGAGAAGAAGATTTTCAAAGATTTAATGCATTTTCACTATATAATCAAAAGAGCCCCCCCACTCCCTAACACCAGAACCCCTGACCCAGGGGCCATGAAATTCACAATTTTGGAAGAGGCAGCCATGCTCATCATAACTATGTACTCAGTTAGTATATTTCATACCCAGGAGCAGAGAGGAAGATTTTCAAAGATTTAATGCATTTTCACTATATAATCAATAGAGCCCCCCCCCTCCTAACACCCAAACCCCTGACCCAGGGGCCATGAAAATCACAATTTTGGAAGAGGCAGCCATGCTCATTATAACTACATACTTAGTTAGTTTATTTCATACCCAGGAGCAGAGAAGAAGCTTTTCAAAGAAATAATGCATTTTCACTATATAATAAATAGCCCCCCCCCCTCCTAACACCAGAACCCCTGACCCAGGGACCATGAAATTCACAATTTTGGAAGAGGCAGCCATGCTCATCATAACTATGTACTCAGTTAGTATATTTCATACCCAGGAGCAGAGAGGAAGATTTTCAAAGATTTAATGCATTTTCACTATATAATCAATAGAGCCCCCCCCCCCTCCAATACCAGAACCCCTGACCCAGGGACCATGAAATTCACAATTTTGGAAGAGGCTGCTATGCTCATCATAACTATGTACTTAGTTAGTTTATTTAATACCCAGGAGCAGAGAAGAAGATTTTCAAAGAAATAATGCATTTTCACTATATAATCAGTAGAGCCCCGCCCTAACACCCAAACCCCTGACCCAGGGGCCATGAAAATCACAATTTTGGAAGAGGCAGCCATGCTCATTATAACTACATACTTAGTTAGTTTATTTCATACCCAGGAGCAGAGAAGAAGATTTTCAAAGATTTAATGCATTTTCACTATATAATCAATAGAGCCCCCCCCCACTCCCTAACACCCAAACCCCTGACCCAGGGGCCATGAAAATCACAATTTTGGAAGAGGCTGCCATGCTCATTATAACTACATACTTAGTTAGTTTATTTCATACCCAGGAGCAGAGAAGAAGATTTTCAAAGATTTAATGCATTTTCACTATATAATCAAAAGAGCCCCCCCACTCCCTAACACCAGAACCCCTGACCCAGGGACCATGAAATTCACAATTTTGGAAGAGGCTGCCATGCTCATCATAACTTTGTACTTAGTTAGTTTATTTAATACCCAGGAGCAGAGAAGAAGATTTTCAAAGAAATAATGCATTTTCACTATATAATCAATAGAGCCCTCCTAACACCAGAACCCCTGACCCAGGGGCCATGAAATTCACAATTTTGGAAGAGGCAGCCATGCTCATCATAACTATGTACTCAGTTAGTAAATTTCATACCCAGGAGCAGAGAAGAAGATTTTCAAAGATTTAATGCATTTTCACTATATAATCAATAGAGCCCCACCCCCCAACACCAGAACCCCTGACCCAGGGGCCATGAAATTCACAATTTTGGAAGAGGCAGTCTTGCTCAACATAACTATGTACTTAGTTAGTTTATTTAATACCCAGGAGCAGAGAAGAAGATTTTCAAAGAAATAATGCACTTTCACTATATGATGTATATAGCCCCACCCTAGCACCACAACCCCTGACCCTGGGGCCATGAATTTCACAATTTTGGTAGAGGGCTCATTGCTTATTACAATCATGCCAACAGTTTGACTGCTTGATGTCCAGGAGTAAAGAAGAAGATTTTTAAAGATTGCATTAATTTTGGTGGTTTTGGTCCACCCCTCAGGCCCCAGGGGGGCAGGGACCATGAAATTCACATTTTTTGTTCCCCTTCACCCATAGGTGCTATATGCCAAAATTGGTTGAAATTGGTTGAGTGGTTTTAGAGAAGAAGCTAAAAATGTTCAAATGTTAACGCATGACGCACGACGAACGATGACGGACAAAAACGGATAGCAATAGGTCACCTGAGTGACTCAGGTGACCTAAAAAAGTTACTGAAAGATGATAAATCCATCTGGTATTTCACTGAAAATACACTAATTTTAGCACTTTTTTCCCCAATTCAACCTTAAAATGATCATAATATTTTTTTATTTGTGCAGAAAAATACAAAACATGCAAAAATAAACACTAGAAGGTAAAATGTAAAAACCTGGTTATTACTGACTAATTTGACCAATTAAAGAAACTAAGCATCTTTTTTCTTTGTACAGAGCATCATAAATAAAGAGTTCACTACCATAAGTAACTTACAGTGTACAGGGGCCTGGGGTCCTCCAACATCTCCTTCTGGGAATCCATAGTACCCCAGTTATAAGTCAGCTCACAGCTTTTCCTTTTCCAGAGTTCCAGGTATAGCGTGGCCCAGAGAGCATTGAACAAGGCAAATCCAATAAAAAGTTCATCATCCCACTCCTAAAACACCATTGCATGGTTCATGTATTTATCATAAAAATAAAAGAACTTGTTCATATAAATATGGATAAGGACTGTAAGAACAAGGGAAGCATGGCCTGTCCTTACCTGGTCTGCCTGCCACTGCATGATCCAGATTCCTAGTCCTACAAAAGCAGGCAAACACAGGGCCAGGGTGTAATGTCCAAGGTAGGCAAAGTAGAGAGCTATTTTTACCCCAAAGTAATCCTTTATTTTGTCTAAAACAAAAAGAAAGAAATAAAATCAGCAGGATTACATACCTTTTTGCAAATTAGAAATATGGTAAGAAATGTTGCCTATAAATATTTTTGACAAAATACATGTAATCGTAATCTTAATTTCTTTTTTTTTGCCCCAATATTCAGTTACCTTTTATTTTAGCCTCAAAATTCTGACCTTCACTTTTAAAATACAAAGCATCTCTGCAAATTTCAGAGATTCGAACAAAAATGTAGTCTGACACTTACAAAGAGATAGAGTAACATTTTGACTGAGGGACAGACAAAGCAAATGCCGGAGGCCTATGGCCATAGCAATTTTTTGCAATACATATACATGTATAGGCCAATGGCCATATATTTAAATCACAACAGATGATATATCTAAAAATATAAGATAGAAATATAACCTAAGGGCTGAGGGGAAAAGAATGCCTGCACCCACGTCTTCCTGAGCTCTTTAACAGACTGCTTACAGTGGAGAGGAAACACTTGTGAAATGATTTTTTTGGACTCCAAAATTGGAACTAAAAAAAAAGGAGAGATATACTTTATAACATGAATAATTTTATGAAATTGAGTATAACTTGTCCAATCCAGGTTCTGAATACTTCGGAATTTTGTCCATTTTGTCCCTTGCACTTCTTTAACAAAATTAACAGTACAAAACACAAGTAATCAAAGATTACAGAGCTCAACTCAACAAATGTTATCTTTAATTAAGTAAGGCAAAGTCCCACACTAAAGTAATAATCCACTGGAATGTGGAATAATAATACACTGGAATGAGTCTGCTCCAAAAACTTAAACTTGGTCACTTATCCAGAAAATGTAGATCAGATCCAGCATCCAAAGCAAGCCTGGTAGTGTGCATCCTTAGATGTATCATCCATGCAAGTTTGGTAAATATAGGGCTTAGAGTTACTGTAAACATACTTTTCTCCACGGGGTCACAATTCCGCGGAATCATAATTTCTTTTCAATCCGTGAGTAGAAAATTATGCGGAACTTCTTGGATTGCCTTTGTATATCTTTTATGCACTTTAAGTATTCTGTGACAAATTTTCGCGGAAAACTTGTGACCGTGTACATAGCGGAAATTAGCGGAAAAAAGTACGTCTACAGTACTTGAAAAATGAGACCTGCTCCAAAAACTTTAACCTGCTCCAAAACTTTAAACTGCTCCAAAACTTTAACTTGGTCATTCTTATGCTGAAATTGCAGTATCTGAAACCTTGACTGGTACAATGAAACATTCTAGAAGCTTCATCCATGCATCTCTGATTAATATAGGGCATAGAAGTTCTTGAATAGAAGCCTGCTCCAGAACTTTTACTTTGGATGCCGATGCTGAGGGTATTGTTTTTTGTTTTGAACATATTTTATTGAATGAATCAAAAGAATTGGAAAAAAGTTCTTACAACTTACTGGTTCCTCTCCTGCTGAGGGTATTAAATAAGCTCCCCCCAACTTAGTTGAGGTGAGGTAAAAATACATTAGCTAAAAATAATGATCATACTCAGAAATCTCAAAGAAAGTTAATATATGAGAGTTGATCCAAAAGTTATTTCACAACTGCCATAAATCTTTACAAATCAAAAGCTTTCAATAAACTTACTATACTAATACTTCTGTCTATTTAGACTTTTGCCCTCAAATTTCATTAAGATATATGCAATACTTAATAAAATATTAAAATATGCCGGTACACAACGTTGGGTCTCATCTTTTAACACACGCAAAGATTGTACAGTCAAAACAAGACGGTTTATAACCAAATAGCTGTAAAGATTATTTAAAAGAAGCAGGTGAGAGGTTAAAAAATATGTGGATGAACTGAAACTGAGTGCCGAAATCTAACATCATAACAACGTCGACAACAATCTTGTCATGCGCCAATAGACAAAACCTAACGTTCTGTTTATCGTAATTTTTTTAAAGCATTTTATATACATTAAAACACGCTTATATTGAACATGCTTAAATGAATTAACGCTTACAGAAAAGTGATTTTCATTCCCCATGGCTATAAATTATATTATGAACTTTACTGATATAACAAATTATGTTTATAATGAACAAAAATGCCTGGCACTTCGTTATAAGCGTGTTTTACTGTAATCCAATGAAATTTAAAGGCAAAAATCAAAATAGATTAGCATATTAGTACATTATGTCAAATTTTGTTAATAACATTTGATTATCAAAGATTTTACAGCAGCTGTGCTATTACCTTTGAATCCACCCCCCACAGTTTCACTTAATTTCTCTTAAATATCCAGAATAAGATAATCTGTGTCTCCTCAACACAGAAGAAATGATGTCAAAGCTAGAATTTACCAATAGATTGGCCTTCCACAAATTTCACTTTCCCCAGTTGTTCCCCTTGAATAGCTCTCAGACTATCCAATAGATGGCATATAATGCTCTGTCTCTCCTGACTATTAAGAAAGAGGTTCTCATCCTCAATATTTTTAAAGCACTCTTGCTCTTCAAATGAAAATTCTCTCATTCCACCTCCTAGATCCTCTTTCAGGAGTTTCTGTATTCCCAATTCTTCTGCTCCTTTAAGAAGTCTGAAATAAAAAGTGATTATTTTCTAAACAGATGGAATAAATTCAAAACCTTCCTGACAGTAATATTTGTTAAATGTATTCACTAAATTTGTCCTAACTGTGTAAAGTGTATACATGTATAAGAATTTTTGTCATTTTTTTTTCTTAGTATAAAACTCCTACTATTTAGGCTCATCAAACCTCTGTTCACTTATATAAATTTGTGCTTTAATGCTAATAATTTTTCACAAGAAATTTAATCTATAATTTAAATCAACACAATTTTGGCATACAAGAAAGGAATAATTGTCATCTAACCCAAAAAGAGTTATCTCCCTTATCAGAGGGTCAGTGAACCTTAACAGTAGAGATCTTGTTTTGGACACTGCAGTAAGTATAAAGCTGGCATAGATCTTACAAAGAACAAAACTTGCACAGATATTATGCTTTAGAATCTATGATTCTTTCGATAGTGACTGCATGCATGTGAGTCTTATTTTCTGGAAAAGCAACCAGCTTAAAATTTCTGAATTTCAATAATTCTCATTGGCCAAGTACCAGTAGGTTTAGAGACTGACACTTTTTTAAATGACTGTTGAGTTAAATCCTGGAGTACGTACAACTATTACTCTTAACCATGTTAACAGAGGCCTAGCTGACTTGTTTTATTATAAGCAACTGTACAAAGATACAATCTTTTGCTACAAAAAAAAGTTATGAGAGGAAATCATTTGTTGTAATATTCATATAGGCAATAATAAGAAAATTCAGTCTTGCACTTTCCCTCATAATTGCAACATAAAACAGCTTTAGCAGTTGCTTAACTTCAAATATGCATCACCTTAAAATTTTTGTCTAGGAGGAGAAAATTCCCTTTTCTCCTTTTATCAGAAGCACATGATGATCACTGCCAGATGTCATGGAATGAATTGCTCTTTGGCCACAGTTCTTATAATGCTATAAATATCAGTAGTTGTATATCGCAACATTCCACACAGTACTGTGTCATATATCATATCATACAGAATTCTACAGGTCAATTACTAAAACAACAAACTCTTCATCACCCAGTGGCTATTTACCACCAGGAGTTAATCCTTACTTTTTGTGTTGATTAAGAATATGTCTATTTCAACCATTTGAAATCTGTTTTTTTGTTTTGTTTTGTTTTGTTTTGTTTTTTTAAATAAGTATAAGCTTTACAAAATATTTTAGCAAATGTAAGTATATTCAATATAACATCTGAAAAGATACATCTTAAAACTTCATATTAAGAATAAAAAAACATCTCTAACCCTGCAGCTGGTTATATTTTAAATAAATTTCTATATTATCATAATTATGAATTTTAAGTGGTTTCTGTTATTCTAAAATATTTATAACACTGGGTATAATCTCAAAGATGCATATCTCTTCATTGATTTGTAAGGCTAGATATTTAACATATTTCTAGAAGACACTTAAGTGTATACATCTACCCACTATTCACATTGTTTACAAACTTAAAATTTATGGCTAATTAACCACTTATAAAAACAAAGGAATGAGATGTCGAAAATTGAAAATATCTTAATAAAAAAAACAATTCAATTCTGACTTAATTTTTGGATGGAATGTTTTAATCATTGAATGTGTATAAAACAATTTGTACTAGATATATTTTTCTTTGGAAAATTCTGTTGGTAAAAATCATTCTTCAAAAGAGTAAAAGGCCCATGGGTAGCATGTGTTCTCAGGTAAATGACCAACTCAGCCCTGCATGGGACTGAAACTCAACTTTAACTCAGGAATAACACGAAAAAAATTGAACATTTTTGTTCTTTATCTAATGGCATGATGCTGGTCTCCTAAATGCTCAGGATTAAACATTTTTTTAAAAAATATAATGCATTTTTTAATGCGATTTCTAATGCAGTGTCAGATCTTTTCCTCACTGGTCTTAAAAAATTGAGATGAACTTCAAGGAATTTTTAGCCCAGAGAGCTGACAGATCTGCAGCTGTATATTATATCAACTTAGTCTGATACTTGAGCTTGTGTCTTGGGGACCAAATTTTACAATTTAAGTTTGATAAAATTGTCTACATTCATACAGTTTGCTTGCTAAATGTCTGAGAATGAGAAAGATTTTCAAATGTATAATGAATTTTCCATACATGACAAACTTTAAGTCTTATCCTAGGGCCTAAACTAAACTAAAAACTACAGGTACTGTGAGTACTGAGCTCAAAATGGTACACCCTGCTCCCATAGGAGTATAATGGAAAAGTCCCATTTTTTGCTATTGGAAACCTCATATATAATCTAATCAGAACACAGAGTAGGAGGTGCACAATAATACTTTGTAATAAAGATTCTGTGTAAGTCTCATTAAATTTTATTCAGTGGTATAGGCGGAATTAAGGATAAGAGATGGGTATCCCAAAGTGTTATGGATGTATAGACAGAAGGACATAGGATGGAAGGATGGACACCTTATCACTATATAGGTATAAAAAAAAAATTATTGATGAGTGAAGAATTGTAAACTGAGTGAATCTTGCTGCTGAGATTTACACACAAGATGAGTGATACAAAGCCTCACCCTTCATAAGAAGCTGTCAGATGAAACATGGACCCTTTGGTGTTGCTATGGTGACGGACATGGATGATGAGATGGGGGGACCTGGCTCTGAGGCGGTCCAGTAGCCACATGAGGGTGCTGGTTTCTGTATCTGCTGGGAAGGTGACCAGTACATCACAGTCCTGTGTTGGGATGGGGTTACGGAGAATATTACTGGATGCCACTAGACGACTTGTAGGAACATGTATTAACTTCTTACCAAATAACCGTGAACCTAAGGGTAACAAACAAAAGAATACAATTTATAATTAATTCGCAATATTTTATGAGAGATCTTATGGCATAAGCAATAAGATTAGTAAAAAATGGCACATGAGCTATGATAAATAAATGATCCATAATAGTGCTTTCTAATACATGTATACAACTTTTTCGAACTCTTTAAAATGATGCATAATTTTTTTTTTTGTACTTGTCAGTGTGTTGTATGGTGTGACATGATCTCTATCACTTCTTATGAACTTGTGGTGGTTTTTTGCAGATCAATATATGTCCCATGTGTCATGATAAATGGGATAACTGATGGTTTGTAAAGGATATACATATTGATTGGGAGTCCGCATCCCTTACAGCAGCTATATAAAAATTCATATATTACAAGGGCTTGGAAATGTGGCTTACATAAATTCATAACAACCACTGGTAAATACCTCTCCACAAGGAAAGCTAATTATGATGAATATAGAAGGTGGTCGTTGAATATTATTTAAAATTTATCATATCAATTGAAATGTTTGCATCATGGAAGAATGTGATGATAGTGACACATCAGTCAAATTAAAACACATAGAAAATTTACATTAAAAAGAGCAATTCATTAACAGTCATATTAATTATTAAATAAAAGGAAAAACATTAACATTAACACTTTCTTTCAAATTTATAAGCATTTTAAAAATCTGATGATTTCTAATCTATAGCTACGCTATGTCACTATTGTGTCTTCAGTGTACCTCCTAACTAACTTACCATGGTAATTAAACAATTAACATATTCTTCATCAGTATCTTAGCCACATTTACTTACTGGATTCGTTATTAGTTCCCATATCCACTGATTAAAAAGTACTTTGTATACAAGCACCTTTGTAAATTATAGTCCACACCTACTCAAATACTCCATACTAGTGCACTGTTAGTCACTTGACTAAACAGGTACATATACATCTGTTGAACATACCTCCAATGTAATTACACAAAACTAACAGTTAAATCCATAAGAGAGATTGAATATAAAACATCAATTATTCTTCACATTTGGTGATATAATATCAAAACACATTCATAGGTCCTCATATACTGGCCAGTACACAAGAACAGAAGCCTTGTCCATCTAATGCAGATTTGACATGATTCCTTAGGCCTATCATCTGATTAATTAACTCAATAGCGCATTGTAAATGTTACAGCAAAAATGATAACCATAGTCACAGCAGGCTTCTTCTTACTGGCCTGATAATTACATGCTTCAGGCATGTACTTCCCATATTCCTAAAAATGAAGTTAATGTTATACAATTTAATTTGCAGTTCCTATAGCAGATAAATGCCATTCATGTAGTTAGCAGCTTGTACCTTGAAAAGGATTAATTATAGACACAAAGCCACTACCAAAGTATTAAAAAGAAATGCTGCACTTGGGCATGCATTACACCCAGCCACTCCACTTAATTCAAAAGAGATTTCACAAAGCACTAAACTCAACGGCAAAGGTATAAGACTGGCAGATTTTGTTTTGTGGGGAGGGGGGGGGTCATCTTTGTAAATGAACTATTAGGGAATTGCCACTTTATCAATAATCACAGAGGAATTATATGTTTAAACCTACTTGGTTTAATGCAAAAGAATTCATGTCTAAAGGCCATCATTAAAAAAAATGTTTGCTTGGCCTCTCCCTACTCAGGATAAACAAATTAGGTAGGTGGGTAGAGGGAAGTTTTTTTTTTATTCAAAAACACTTGCGAATATAAAGATAAAATAGTGCTTAATAGCTGATAGGGCTGGGATGATACAGCTTTTTCTATATCGATACTATCACGATATTTGAGCCACGATACGATATGTATCACGACATGTTGAATTGCATGGTTATAAATTTTTTTTTGTTGTGAAAAGAACGAAACATATTTCTTCACAAATAAAAATAATTTATTCAAAGAAGTTGTATATCTGTTGTAAAACAAAATCATTTTACCCAAGTGGTATTAATTATTATTTATTTCATATTTATATTTAGCATATATATTTATTTTATATATTTAACCCAAAATGTTAAGAAAACTGAGAAAAACATAAGTCAGAATTTTTTTGCGATATTTCGATATTTCATCATACATATCGATATGCCTATCATCCTCACATTGAATCGATATTATCGATATCTCGATATATATCGTCCCAGCCCTAATAGGTGAGAAGTGAATTTAAAAAAAATAATTGTTTATCAGAGGTTAAAAAAAGTTTTGAGTCTGGCTGTTTTTAGTCAAATAAACATTTTTTTAAAGATGGCCTATAAATGCAAGGCAGAATATTTTAATGCAATATATTTAATCCGGAGAGGGCAAATAAACATTTTTTTAAAGATGGCCTATAAATGCAAGGCAGAATATTTTAATGCAATATATTTAATGTTTTTAAAATGGCTTCCTTTTTTCATCTGCCACACATTTCTCATAATACAAATACTTAAGCCTTTATGAATCCTCTAATTATTTGTCAAATAATGATATTTTCCCGCGTTTCGATAGTATAGCGGGAAAATGTTGTATTAATGACAAGATGTTTATACACATGTAGTGTGGATTGGTCAGAGAGTGACCAATAGAAATTGATTTTGATGTGTAATAGAGAACTGGTTTTAAAGGTTGGTCACTTCTAGCCGCCGATTTAAGCAAGCAACATCAAAGTTTTCATAATTTGTAGATATAAGAAAATTTTTTTATCAGGTATACATGTAGGTTGTGAGGTCCGTCGCAACTATTTTTGCATCCAGCGGCACTTGGCAATGGACACAGGTTTCTAGAGTTTTTAAAATTATTTTATCTCTAGTTTTTCCTGGCCGGCCCTGATGCTTTTCAAAATTTTCAAATTGTATAATTATAATATATGCAGCAGTTTTTGCAAATTTGATGGTTTTATTTCGTCGTACAATGTACTGTATGTATATATTGATTTATTGTTTTGTGGAGACTGTCAATAAAATACAGCGTCCAGCGCACGCTCAGCTGGCTGTCATGCATAGCATGTTGTTGTTTTTCATGTTGGTATAAAAGTAATGGAGTGAATACTGCAGCTTTTCTAGTCTTTGTAAGTGTACTCTTTTACACTTCTAAATGAGATAAAATCATTCACACCAAGTAAAACAGACAGTAAAATAGTTTTTATCAATAGAATGGTCTTGAAGTTTTATATAATGCCATCATTTCAATATTAAGGAGGACAAACTGTAAAGATTATAGCTTACATTTCCAATACTTATCCCTAACTAAATGCCCTGGACAGATAACAATTCATCTTCTAAATAATTCATGACAATTAAAATTTTGAAAAAATGGGAAGAAATTTTATCCTTGACTTGACAATAAGAAATAAAATCAATCATAGAATTGCAATCATTTCACAGGAAGGCAAAGAGAGTATTTATTGGTACCTATAAATATTAACCAGGAGTCTCTGACAAGACTGTAGTTCTACTAGTTTGTACTTATAAGAAAGGAAAAGTAGCACTTGGACTTGAAACTTTGCAACAGCAATAAAGAGAGTAATGATCCTTGGTTTAGTCTCTTTTTGTGGCAAGATTTATTGCAATCAGATTAAAACTGTAGGAAGAATAACCTTTAAAAAGATTTTACAGAAATTTTGATTTTAATAACCATGGCAACATCATTCATCAAAATAAAAAAAAACTGATAAAGACAATTATGTATCTCAGTGTAGTCTATATGCATGCCAAGTTACATTGAAATTGTAAAAAAAAAAAACTACAGCCTTAACAGTCACAAGTATAACACTACAATGGGTCCATAGAAGTATAAAATATAACAAATTTATTACTTATATTTACATTTCTGACTGATTTATTACAAATAGTAAGGTACTAAAGTTTTAAACCCATAAATGAATTATTTCTTTTTTCAAAACTCAATGGTATAACTTGAATGTGTTGAACACGTCGATCACTTATGACGTCACTATGAAATTACATAGATCGCTTATGACTAAACAATCAATTTATGGTCACATGGCCAGCGTGTTTTACACAGGTGTAAAAATGCCTTGTTCAAACAGTGTTATATAAGGGAAAACATTTGCAAATGTAAATATTAGCAAATCATAATACTTGCCAGTGCTAATACACTCCCATTTGTCACTTACAACATGTAGACTAAGAACAATAGTGATTGAGCTCATATAGTAAACCAATCACATTTCACATCACATTAGCCTCTCTTGATCTTTGCAGAACATTTAATATACACAGATAAGGTATTTTTGTCTCATTTTCTTTAAATATCTACTATTTACAAGTCTATCTGATCACTGAAAACTATGAAAGTACTTTTTGTAATATACAATAAAAATTCTTGTATAATTGTTTTATTCGATTGACCTATCAATTACATTAATTTATTTAAAGTGAGTAATTATCATAGGTAAAGTATGGAGATAACGAACAGTAATCAGGTTCAAAAGTCCGTTGAAAGAATATGAATCGGGAGCAGAGCAAACACATACCTCTAAAAAATATCAGAGTTGGGATCAAGTGCCAAGGAGGAGTAAGCATCCCCTGTGGACCAGTCAGATCCGCCATGTGCTCATTATCACGATCAGGTAAACAGAAAAATCTGTCGAAATTCAGTGTTTAAATAATGGCCTAACAATTAGTATAAAAAATGTCAGTCAGCATTCGACTTAATGGTAGATTGTATTTGCTGACGAGATCATTGTATTGATCATAAAACTTGCAAAATGATGACTATAAACTAGACTGTTAATATCCTTGTTTCATCAACTTGTTTGTCAGTAGCTTGCCTCGTTTTATAAATTGTTCATACGTGAGCATGCTCTTGTGTATTGAATTAACTGGGAGACATAAATCCCAAATGCAGGTGATAAGGGTATGTTGCTACATAAGTAAGGGAAGCTGATGATAGAAAAGTTGAAGTCATCATGTTCATCATAAAGTTTTGCTGTTAGGCTACCATTAATGTCTTTTT